AATTTTGATTCATCATCGATATCAACAATTCAAAGTTACAAAAGAAACCAGCAATAACAACTCTAACACATAAGTATAAAGGGAATAGAATAGTCTACTGCTACTGCAAAATAAATTGTTTTTTTAAAAACAACAAAATAAACAACTGTGAAAAGAGAATATTAAAAGACTAAATAAAAACTTCAATATTTTGTTTATCGATACAAAAAACTTGAAATGTAATACAAAAGGTTTAGGGTTTTGTTTATATTATTATACGTTTTTTTCAACCTGGAAATGGACACAAGCACAACAAAGTGACCAAAATACACAATTCCAAGTTTGAAAGAAGAAATTTAGGAAAATTTCGCCTTTGGCACTGGTGAACAAATACATGTAATGTAGAAATTTGGAATAAACAACAGGCTAATTTTTAGATAACAAAGAATTACAATAGCAATTTGCAGTTTTAAACTGACTTTCTCATTTAATATCCAGCACTGGTAGTGATCAATATCTTGAACTTAAGAAAACGTTTTATAAAGACACTCTGTACCTCAATTGTATCACAATAACCGAGTTTAACTTGTGGATTTGCTTCTTAATAAGCAAAATGATATATTAAAAAATTATGTGTGGAGCGTCTCTTTATTTTGAATCACCCATGAAACATTTAATATAATAGTTTCATTAAAGATCATTCATATCATTATTCTGAGTTCTTAGCATAAGTGTTCAATTTCTTGATGGAAATAATTCAACAAATTAAAATGTTAAGAAATTAAAGCTTCGTGAATCTATCTATTTAATAAGTATCAATGTACGATATATTAGTGACTCTTTGCTTTTACAGTATCATTTTCAAACGTTCTGACATTGATCTGAAAGTGCTTGTTCTCTCTGTTTTGGGTTTTTACACGTTATATTACTTAGAAGCCGAAGTGTTTTTTAATATAAAAGAGATTGTTAACAGTTATATCTCTGGTCAGTGATAAATATTTTGAAAATTAACCTCTTCTTGAAAACACTAATCACTTTAGTTGTTAGGTATTGTTAAACGGAGCTTCTGTATTTATTATAAAGTGTGTATTTTTTGAAATAACGAAACATTTTATGCATTTTAGTGTTTTATTTTATTCTGTGTAACTTTTAATTGTCACCGATAGTCATGGTATTCATTTCTCGAATGAGATGGTATAATACCTTGAAATAAACAAGAATTTAACGATTGTTTTAATAATATAAATTTTCTTAGAGATGAATCATTTTAAAGATCTTGAAGAAGTTTATTGCCAACAATATATTGAAATGATCTATGTCCAGCTAAATAATCAGTGTTAATCGTGATAATCGTCCGATTACATTCTTGCGACCATTTTATAAATTTTTTAAACAGTTTTTTCATCAGAAAACTTGCAGGAAGACGTGACTTAAAAACGTCCTTTAACTATAATATTTTTAACAGAGAAACAATGAAATATTGACGAGAAAGTTATATTGTATTAATTTAGAGACAGCCTTATGGAGAGAGATCAGAAAACGTTACATAAATGGCAATAAAAGATTTGGCTTTCTGTAATAGCTATTTTACTCCTTTTGTAGAATTTCCTAACCTTATACAAAACTAAGAGATTAAGAGGCAAAAATGAAAAACAAAATTGATGAAATCCTAGAGCGCTTTTGACAGCTGGACGTATATTATTAAGGGTTAAAAAAAGAATATATAAGTGTTAATAATGACATATGACGTTGTTGTAATTTTACTTGAATATTAAACAAAAATTCGTTTGCAAAAACTATACAATTATTGAAGGAAGAGTTAACCCTTTATCGGTGAAGAAGGCAAATATACCTGTCGATAGCGCCAGGATTTTATTTTTTGATTTGATTTCCCAAACTTTTTATCTTTTGTGTTTCTTTACTGTCGTGAATGGAAAAAAATACATTTAGTTTAATTTTTCTATTTGTTGTTGTTCTTTTCAGGGGGTACTTGTTTAGTAATAAAAACAGCTGCGTTCTTCTGTTTATTATTAGAAAATGGATGGATTTTCAGTCTGTCTTTTATTAAAGTTGACAAACAGTCTATTCTTTGTATCCCAGACATACAAAAACATGGCATGGAAACGTTAGAGAACTAGAAAAAGAATGATTTGGTTCACCTTTTATGTCATTCAGCAAGATTGTGATTATACAAACAAGCGATACAGCGAATGTTTTAATGAGAATTATTTATTATTTTGATTTGGTTGGTTGTAAAACAAAAGCCACTAGATATTTCTAATGATCATTTCAATCTTATGAACTCTGGGATATTTATTGTTCTTGTTTGTCTTTAATTATAACTTGTTACTGAAGTTCTAGCCCAACTATTACGAGTACTATTATCATACTCAACATTTTGTTTTACTCGTCTAAGTATATCTTACGCTTTTACCAATTTCATATTATCTAGTCTTCTGAGAGTCTTCTACAACGTCTGAACAACCAGCTCATTCCGATTGTTTCTAGGTTACCAAATTGTTATATTTCATGAATCTTTGTAGAACATGTCAATTAGTCTATATTTTTAGGTTTAATTTTTATACAGTCGGTGAATTCGTTTTTTTTTGTTTGTTTGAAGTTAAGCACAAAGCTACACAATGGGCTATCTGTGATCTGCCCACCACGGTTATCGAAACCGGGTTTCTGGCGTTGTAAATCCGCAGACATACCGCTGTGCCACTAGGGGGCATATATAATGTGAAAATTTTGCCAAAGTAATATTTAGGATTATGCTATGACTAAACTTTTACGCTTTAAGTCTTCCCTTTCTTAGTTATAATTATTTATATATTGGCGATAAATAAATAAACAAAATAAAATACATGGAAAATAAGTAACTAAATAAATAAATAATCGAAATATAATAAATAAGTAACTAAATAAATAAATAAACAAAATAAAATACATGGAAAATAAGTAACTAAATAAATAAATAATCGAAATATAATAAATAAGTAACTAAATAAATAAATAATCGAAATATAATAAATAAGTAACTAACTAAATAAATAAACAAAATAAAATAAAATACATGGAAAATAAGTAACTAAATAAATAAATAATCGAAATATAATAAATAAGTAACTAAATAAATAAATAAACAAAATAAAATACATCGAAAATAAGTAACTAAATAAATAAATAATCGAAATATAATAAATGAGTAACTAAATAAATAAATAATCG